TACCCTGTGCTCTTCCAAGCCCCCTCCCTCCCTGTCCCCTTATGATGACGGGAAGGCTGGCGGGGAGCAGAAGTCCCTCTGTAGACCACACACAGAAAGGGATTTGGCTTGGGGAGCCAGATGCCACCCAGGCATTGGATGGGCTAGGACATTCGCTACCTTATCAAGTTGGGGGACCGAGGCCAGCAGTGGAAGCCTTGGGTTCAAGGTGATAATCACCTGTACCATCCCAGGAGCCTTCTAGGTGCCTGGCAGGAAAATGGTCCTGCAGCAGTCCCAGTCTGACACCAGAGCCCCCATGGGGTACAACCCGACCTGTCCCCAGAGCCGGTGGCACAGACATCAGAACAGCCTGGCCTCTGCCATTAGAGAGAAGTGGGGATGGTAGCTGGGAGCAGGTGACAGCCCTGTCCTGCACTTCCCTCTGGCTTTGACGTGGGTCCGAAAACTTTCTCCTCCCTTCAAGCGGTGCTGCCCCCCCCCCGCTTTTTGTTTATTTATTTGCTTGTTTTTTAGACAGCATCTCACTATGTAGTTCCGGCTGGCCTTGAACTCATGGGTGCTGGGATGACAGGCATACACCACCATGCCCATCATGGATCGTACATTTTCAATAGTTAAAATGTCAAGCTATACCTAACGCTACCCATCAGCTGCTTCTGTCCGCATCCGGCAGTCAATGCTGGATGGACGGGCGAATTTAAGTTCCACTGTGCCCAGCTGCCCAGTCTCCTGAGCAGGCAGAAGTGACAGCTTTGGGGGCCAGATCCCTCTCTGGGCTTGCTCTGGCGGGAGTAGTCTCCACACTGAGAACACTCACAGGGAACAGGGCCCTGGGCTCCATCCCAACAGCACTGCAGAAACAATGGACCCTCCAGAGCGGGTCGTGGTGGCACACACGCCTGTCATCCCAGCCCTCAGGAGGCTGAGGCAGGAGGATCACCTCGAGTTTGAGGCCAGCCTAAACTAACCGTGAATTAAAAACCAGTCAGAACTACATAGGAAGACCCTGTCTCAAAAAAACAAACAAAGCAAAACAAACAAAGCCAAAAAGGAGGTGGCCACCTGCAAGCTGGAAACAGAGCCTGCCCAACCTTCAGCTGGGACTTCAGAGCCCCAGACTGAGCCACTGTGCTGGGTCCCTGACCCTGTCCCCTCCCCGCTGGCCCAACCTGTCTATGCACATGGCAGCCATCTGTCCCTCTGGCTTGCCTTTGTACATAGTTTGTGGCAGATGACGCTCTTGCTTTCTCTCTGTTTCTCCTGGAAGGCCACTTAAGATGGAGGAAGGGACTGGGCATGCTGGCACAGGCCTGTGATCCCAGCACTTGGGGCAGCTGAGGCAGGAGGAGAGCAAGTTCCAGCTCAATCTGAGCAACTCAGCGAGACCCTGTGTGAAAATAAAATATGCAAGGAGGCTGAGGGTGTAGCTACGTGCAAGGGAACTGAGTTCAATCTGCAGTACTGAAAAAAAAATACAGTGATCCTATAAAAAGGAAAACTTCCCAAGGACCAAAATAATGAGACTGACGACAATGACAAAATTGTGGCTGGGGCATGGACCGGATATGTCTCCTGAACATGGGGCAACCTGGGCCCATGGGTCCTCTGAGGTCTTTTATTTATTTATTTTTGGTATTTTGGGTCTCGCTATGTAGCCCAGGCTGGCCTGAAACTCACAGTGATCCTCCTGCCTCAGCCTCCCAAGTGCTGGGATGACAGGTGTGCGCTCTCAAGCCTAGCAGTAATACAGTAGACCCTCAAGTTATGACCAGCCTGATACACCAACTTGGGCTATGGTTGGAATTTTACTTTTAACTTATGACCCAAGTCTTGAGTTACAACCTGAATGCCAGCTGCTTGTGCTTCCAGATGGTCTCCGATACAGATTTAACCCTTAACGGGTTCTGTCTGGAAGGAACATGACAGCACCCTCTCCTGCGTGGGGTTCACTGAGAAATCCTGAGCCAATGTCTCACTCAGGACACTGAGATCTGCCTGTGTGCAGGAGAGAGACCCTGAAGGTTGTGTAGAGGAGCCTGAGCCTTCACTGACCAGCTTGAGTTACAACCAGCCCTCGAGAATGAATTGAGTTCCTAAGTCAAGGGCCTCCTGTACTTTCTTTTCCCCTTGCTCTTCTTTTCTTGTTTTAAAAACAGGATCTCACTAGCACAGGCCTGCCTAGAACACTCACAGCGATCCTCCTGCCTCAGCCTCTTGCGTGCTGGGACGACAGGTGTGTGCCACCAGACCCAGCCGTATGGTATTATATTAATGACAAGCAAGTTGCAAGCTTGCCCAGGTGCTAGGGGAGGGTTAAAGCCATGTCTTGATGGGAAGTGGTGGGCTTCCAGGGCGACATGTGTGGTGGGACACATCATCGAAGCTCCCTTTGACAAACACAGTCTGCTGCCAGGCCGGGTGAGAAGCAGACGGGTGGGCTAGACGGAGTAGCTCTGTGCTGTTTACAAGAAGCGGCTTGAAGCGGAGAGACACAGATGCACTGAAAGGGAAAATGCAGAAAATGACAGACCAAGCAGACCCGAGCCTCAGAAAGTGACGGAGAAGAATCCAAAATGGAATTCCCCGGAGGAACAGAGGACATCTCACAGTGGAAAAGGCAGAGAACCATTCAAACATGGGAGCAGCTGACAGCAAATCTCCCAAATACGGGAGATAAAAATTACTGACACTAAAGTGTTCTTGCCGGGCATGGTAGCACACATCTGTAATCCCAGCACTTGGGAGGCTGAGGCAGGAGGATCACCATGAGTTCTGGGCCAGTCTGAGCTACAGGAGTGAGAGATCAGCGCTGTCTCAATAAACCAGATATATATATATATTTTTTTGGGGGTACCAGGGATCCAACTCGGGTCCCTGTACTTGCAAGGCAGACAGCAGAACCACTGAGCTAAATCCCTGGCCCAATAAACCAGATATTAATAAAGTAAAATAAATTAGACTTCATCAAAGCCAAAAACCTGCTTTTTCTTCTTCTTGCTACTAGGGATTGAACCTGGAGGTGAGTTACATCCTCAACCATTTATTTACTTAATAAATTTTGAGAGAGGGTCTCATTAAGTTGTCCAGGCTGCCCTGGAACTTGCGAGTGCCCTATCTCAGCCTCCTAAATGGCTAAAATCATAGGCCTGTACCAGGGTACCAGCTCAAGAACATGCTCTTTTGGGGCCAGGGATTTAGCTTAGTGCCACCTCACCTGCCTCACAAGCACAAGGTCCAGAGTTCGATCCCGGGTACAAAGAAAAAACACACACAAAAAATGTGTTTTTTAAGACACAATAAAATGAAAAGGCAAGCTACATCCTGGAAGGAAAGATTTGCAAAATGTAGATCTATTAAAGGACTTGCATGCACACTATGTATATAACTCATACTACCCCAAATTGAGAAAACTTTCTTGAACACTGGCAAAAAATTTCTTTGGGTGGTGGGATGGAACCCAGGACCTTGTGTTATGCCAGGCAAGTCCTCTACCACTGAGCCAACCTCTGAAAAACTGACAGAGGGTTTCACTGCTACTTCAGCAAAGAAGATACACAAAGGGCAGAGTCACATGAAAAGATGTTCAATATCATCAGGCATAAGACAAATGCAAATTAAACTCCCAGCAAAACGCCACTAAAACTGTTAGAAATAAAGAAACTGGAGCTGGACACGGTGGTGCATACTTGTGATCCCAGCACTCAGGAGGCTGAGGCAGGAAGATCGCTGTGAGTTCAAAGTCAGCCTGGGCTACACAGTGAGTTCAAGGCCAAGGCTACACAGTGAGACCCTGTCTCACAAAAAAAGAAAAGAGAGAGGGTGGGGGGCTAAAATCATTTAGGGATCACTGATACCTAGAGCCAGGGGAAACTCAGAGCAAATGGAACTCTGGTGGGTGTGCAAAATGGTACAATGAGTCCAGAAAAAAAATTTGGCAATTTCTTTTCTTTCCCTCTTCCTTTGAGACCACTGACTCTCTATCCTCCTGCTTCAGCCTCTGACAATGAGACCATAATGTTAAGGGAAATAAATCAGAGCCATGAGTTTAAATTTCACATGAGAAACCCCATTCATAAATATGGATCAAAAGGTAAATAACAGGAAACAGGGAGAGATGTTTTGCAAAAGGGAAGGGGACCTAGAGGCAGAGGGAAGGGGAGGGTGTGATAAAGGACCACCTCCCCATGAAGAGTGGGATTATTAGGTACAGCAAATGGGGACTAATAAAAACTAATCAAATTTTTAAAAATTTTTTCACGGGGGCTGCACTTTCCTCTTTTACTTGGCCCAAGCCACTTTCTCCCTCTTCACTTTTACTTTTCCAAATAAACTTTGTCATGCTAAAAAAAGAATTTTACCAAACATGGTGGCAGACACCTGTCATCACAGCACTCTGGGAGGCTGAGGCAGGAAGACTGCAAATTCAAAACCAGCTCGGGCAACTTATTGAGACCTTGTCTCAAAATACAAATTAAAAAATGTGGAGACTAGGGATGTAGCTCAGTAGGAATGCCCCGGGTTCACTCCCCAGCGCTAGGAAGGAGGGAGGGAGCAAGCTGACCTGAGACCCATCCTGCTCCAAGTCTGCCCCCACTTTTGCACCCTGAGGTACTCGCTCGGGGAGGAAGGAGACCTAGAGGCCTTTGTCGTCCTTGTCTTTGTCCTTGTTCATGCAAGTAGAGACAGGGAGGCCGAGTCGCACAGAGAGCGTGGTCAGGGCTTGAGCCTGGCTTTGTCTTCACCTCTGCCTGCTGACAAGCTGTCCCCTTGGTACCAAGGACCCTTAAAAGCCACCTGGGCTGGTCCATGGGAGAGGGTCACGAGGGGAGGAAAAGCAGGCAACGTGGCGTGGCTAGGACTCTTCCCAGGCTCTCCCGCAGTCTTCAGCCTGTGTGGGCCTGGCCTGGATGTCTGCGACAGTGTCAGGCCCGGGGGG